TCAGAAGAAAAACTGGGCAACGACAGGCACCCGTCCACAAGCACACCCACTGGCCATCATTGTTTAGAGTGGCATCTTCACTTCTCCCTTTTCATCTCTCTCTTCTGTGACCTCCACCATGGTCCAGACTCAGGCTACTCCTAAAAGTTTAATCCTCTCTCACTTCTCGGAGGTGAAGGAGGGGGCTTTGAAATTGGTCCCTAGCATCACAAAGGGTAAGTTTGGCACTTTCTGGTTGACTGAATGGCCCACCTTTGGAGTAGGTTGGCCAACCCAGGGGTCCCTTTCCCTGGACACCATCAGCAAGGTCAAGGCTGTCATTACCTGGCCTGACCCAGAGGGCCACCTGGATCAACTCCCCTATATCCTTTTGTGGGAGAATCTGGCAGAGGATCCCCCATCCTGGGTAAGGCCCCTCTTGGTGAGAAAGCCTCATGCTTGCCCACCAAAAGTCTCCATCATGGTCACCCAGGAAGGTTTGAAGTCCTCTAGTCACAGATGTGGGGATCCTAGTGCTCTGCCAGTTCTCCCCGAGAGCTCCTCCCTCTACGCCCCTTTGCCTGTTGAACAGCCACCACCTTATGCAGCTCCACGAGCAGGAGAAGCCGAGGTGACCTATGGATAGGGGGATGGAGCCGGGGGTCCCCATGGGAATCCAGTGGTTGCCCCCTCCCCAGACTCCTCTACAGGAGAGGATAGACGACCTGGGGAGGCAGGAGGGATGCAGTTAAGGTCTCGAGGAAACAGGGACCGAGTGGGGGGAGCTCCATCCTCCACCACAGGAGGAGCCATGCCAGTTTTGCCGGTCCAAATGGTCGGCAGCCCAGATGGAATTCAGCAGTATCAATACTGCCCATTTTCCTCTAGTGATCTCTACAATTGGACGACCCAAAATCCTCCCTTTTCTGAAGACCCTAAGTGTCTAATAGGTTTGGTAGAATCCATTATGTACACCCATTGTCCCACATGGGACGACCGCTACTTCGCACCCTCTTCACAACAGAAGAGTGAGAACGCATCCTGAATGAAGCCAGGAAGAATGTCCTGGGAGAAAATGGGAGGCCCACTACCCTTCAGCCTGCCATCGATGAAGCGTTCCCCCTCACCCACCAAAACTGGGATTTTTGGACGGCAGAAGGTAGGGAGCGGCTCTGAGTCTACCGTCAAACACTTATGATTGGTCTCCAGGGGGCTGCAAGATGGCCCACTAACCTGGCTAAGGTGAAAACAATTTTTCAGGGAGAAACCGAAAGCCCAGCTGATATCTGGAAAGGCTATTTGATGCCTATAGGCAATACACCCCTATAAACCCAGAGGAGAGGAACACTGGTCAGCTGTAGTCCTCTCTTTTATTAACCAGGCAGCCTCCGATATCAGGAGAAAACTCCATAAGCGGGATGATCTGGGAGAGATTTCTATTAGAGAGATGCTGCAACAAGCAGAGAAGGTCTTTAATGCTAGGGAGTCTCCGGAGGACAGGGAGGAGAGGCTAAGGAAGGAGGAACGGGAGATGCAGGATAAAATTAGGAAAGAGGACAGAGAATTTCAAAGAAAAGAGAACAAGAAGCAGAGGGAGGAGATGGCCAGAATATTCCTCGCCGGAGTGAAAGGGAGCCCTGAGCCACTTCAGAGAGCCAGACCCCACCCATCTAAACTAGGGTGGGAACAGTGTGCCCTGTGCAAAAGATACGGGCATTGGAAGAGAGAGTGCCCACAAAGAAGAGGAAGACAAGGAGGAGGGAGCCCTATCAGAACCCTCCACCTGGGAGATGGAAACTGACGGGGACAGGACTCAGCACCCCTCCCCAAGTCTTGGGTAACTCTGTGCATGGAGGGGACTCCCACCGGCTTCATGGTAGATACTGGGGCACAGTATTTAGTTCTCAATCAAGCTCGCGGTCCTCTAAAGCCACTATGCACAAGCATAGTCCAAGGAGCTACAGGAACTTAGACGGGCGCCTGGACCACCAACAGGAAAGTGGACTTGGGAAGGCATCAGGTTTCCCACTCCTTCCTGGTTGTGCCCGAGAGTCCCGCACCTTTGCTGGATAGAGACTTACTCACAAAGATCGGGGCACGTATCCAATTTGAGCCTAAAGGGATAAAAGTCATGGACTCAGAAGGACAGCCCCTGCAGCAAGTACATGTGTTGTCTCTATCTCTGGCTGATGAATATCGCCTATTCCCAGCAGCCCTAGAAAAGGGGAACCAGGGAGACATGAGCTCCTGGTTGCAAGAGTTCCCTTCCGCCTGGGCCGAAACCGGAGGAGTCGGCCTTGCTAAGCACCTGCCCCCGGTTGTGGTCCAACTGAAAGCCACAGCTCTGCCATTCAGGTCTGGCAGTACCCGATGCCAGAAGAGGCTAGGAAGGGAATAGCACCTCACATCCATAGACTGCTAGAAGTAAAAATCCTTAAACCTTGCCAGTCAGCATGGAATACACCCCTGCTTCCTGTGAGAAAGCCTGGCAGTGGAGATTACAGACCGGTGCAGGATTTGCGAAGGGTAAATGAAAGAGTAGAGGATGTTCATGCCATGGTGCCCAATCCATACACCCTACTTAGCCACCTGCCACCATCTCATGCGTGGTATACCACCCTAGACTTGAAGGATGCTTTCTTCAGTGTCCCTCTTGCTGAAGTCAGTCAGCCCTTGTTTGCCTTTGAGTGGCAAGAACCAGGAGGGGGAAAGACAGGGCAGCTCACCTGGACCAGACTGCCACAAGGCTTTAAGAACTCTCCCACCTTGTTCAATGAGGCACTAAGCCAAGATCTGGAGCCCTTCCACAAAAGGCACCCTCATGTGACTCTGCTGCAGTATGTGAATGACTTGTTGCTGGCTACAGCAACTCATGAAGAGTGCATGGAAGCTACTAGGAACCTGTTGGCCGAACTGGGCAGCCTGGCATATCAGGCCAATGCCAAAAAGGCGCACATCTGCCAGAGGTCAGTAGTTTACTTGGGGTACAAGATAGCGGAAGGGACCAGATGGCTGACACAAGCCATAAAACAGACTATCCTGACCATCCCTGTGCCCTCCTCTCTGCGGGGAGTGAGGGAATTCCTTGGGTCAGCTGGGTTTTGCAGACTCTGGATCCCAGGGTATGCAGAGATAGCCCATCCACTGTATGAAGCCACCAAAGAAGGACTGGATTGGAGGTGGAGTCAGGAACAACAAGAAGCATTTGACAGGTTAAAGGAAGCCCTTCTCCAGCCCCCCGCCTTGTCTCTGCCGGACCCAGAAAAGACCTTCATTTTGTTCATAGATGAAAAGAAGGGAGTGGCCAAAGGAGTCCTGGCCCAGCAACTAGGCCCATGGAAGAGACCTGTGGCTTACTTGTCCAAGCGGCTGGACTCAGTGGCCTTGGGATGGCCATCTTGCCTGCGCATCTTGGCAGCCATTGCCCTTCTGGTAAATGAAGCTGACAAGCTGACCTCTGGTGACAGGCCTGCATACTGTGGAGGGGATTCTCAGGCACCCTCCAGGAAAATGGATGACAAATGCCAGGCTCACTCACTACCAAGGGCTCCCGCTGGACTCTCCTCGAATCACCTTCTCAGCCCCAGTGACCCTGAATCCTGCCACTCTCCTGCCAGACCCAGACCTGTCAACCCCCATCCATGACTGTAGAGACGTTCTCTCTGAAATCATCCAGGTACAGGCAGACGAGAGACACGCGGCTGCCAAATAGTGAACTGGACTGGTATACAGATGGAAGCAGCTTTGTGCAGGATGGGCCCAGAGGAGCCGGAGCAGTGGTAGTGATGCACGAAGGGGAAGTCATTTGGAGCGCAGCCCTGTCCCCTGGCACCTCAGCCCAGAAAGTGGAACTTATCGTTCTCGCAGAGGCACTGGAGAGAGCATGCTGATGCAGAGGCCAGGAGGGTAGCTCTCTTAGACCCCATTGTGCTGGCAGCTCTAGAGGTACCCATACCTGAACTACCCACCCTACCCCCAAGACCTGACTATTCCCCATGGGAACTTGAGTGGATAAGAAAACAAGCTCCGGGAGAAAAGCCTGGGGAGGGAGATTGGAGTAGGGACCGGGAAGGTAGACTGATCTTACCAGATGTACTAGGAAAATACATGCTCACCAACCTACACAGATCCACCCATCTAGACTGGAAGAAGTTGCTCAGTTTTTTTCAGGACGCACAGTTGGTATTTCCACACCAGAACGAGGCCGCAAGTCAGATCACGGGGGGATGCGAGAGCTGTGCAAAGCTAAGACCAGCCCCAAAGGGGCTCCACCCGACAGGTATCCGGGAGAGGGGGGGGCCCCAGGAAGAAGTTGGGAGATAGACTTCACCGAGGTAAAGCCAGGAAAGTATGGGTACAAGTATTTGCTAGTCATGGTGGATACTTTTTCAGGATGGGTGGAGGCTTTTCCAACTAAACATGAAACTAGCCAGATGGTGGCAAAGAAATTAATAGAGGAGATAGTCCCCAGATATGGGATCCCTGAGGCTATAGGTTCTGATAATGGCCCTGCTTTTGTTAGTAAGGTCCTGCAGGGACTAGCGCAAGCTTTGGGGACGGATTGGAAGTTACATTGTGCCTATAACCCACAAAGCTCTGGGCAAGTAGAAAGAATGAATTGGACATTAAAGGAGGCCCTTTCTAAATTAGTAATTGAGACTGACGGTGATTGGGTGTCCCTCCTCCCCTTAGCCATTTTCCGGGTTTGAAACTCCCCCTGTGTGCATGGTCTAACTCCCTTTGAAATAATGTACTGGGCCCCTCCGCCAATAACCCAGCAAATGCAGCCCGCAGGGGAAGAGAAGTCAGCCCCCTACTATTTAAATGTGTTGCAATCCCTTGCCAAAGTACAGCAGGAAATTTGGCCCCTAATCAAATCATACTATGAAGGGGAAAGAACCCCGATTGTGGAGCATGGCATAGTCCCAGGGGATATGGTCTGGGTAAAAAGACACAAAGTAAAAACTCTTGAACCCAGATGGAAGGGACCTTATGTTGTATTTTCTGCCACCCCCACGGCCCTAAAGGTTGATGGCATTGCTCCCTGGGTCCACCACACACACGTTCAGAGGGCCTTGCCTCTCGAGGACCCAGAATCCTGTGTGAAGAAGTGGGAGGTGCAGCCAAATCCTGCTAATCCCTTGAAGCTACAGCTGAGCCAGTCACGAAAGGATTCCTGCTGATAAGCTCACTGTTATGGGCCCTCCAGAGAACAGTAGTGTCAGCAGGAGCTCAGAACATCAACCCCCACCAACCAGTACTCCAGACATGGATCCTGCGAAGCAGCAATGCCTATGAGGAATGGAACCACACCTCCCATACAGCCTCGTTGTGGACATGGTGGCCAGATCTGCATGTTGACTTAGAACTTGTAGTGGGGCAATTTTATTACCTCCCCCAGAAAAACCACCAGGAACAATATCATATGAAAAAACGGGCTTTAGTTGACTCATCATCCACAGTCAACCACCAAGCTTTGAGGGCAAATGGGTTCTTTGCTTGCCCAGGTTTCCGGACAGGTTGGTGGAGGTGCAATTGTGGGGGTGCTGATAGACTCTACTTCGCTGAATGGAATTGTGTGGAATTTAATGATGGGCAGTGGAGGTGGGAGGTTTCCCTTGACATGATTGATATGAGGTTTACGTCTCCATACAACCAATGGACAGTATGTCCACTGGCCAACCAGGTTAAAATCACTTTCACCTCAAAGGGAAAAAATGATAAAAGGTGGATAGATGGGCTGACATGGGGCCTGATGCCCTACCAGACACCATGGAGGGGGTTCCTGTTCCAGATCTACCTCCAGGTCGAGGCAGTGGTTAGGTCACCAGTAGGACCTAACCCGGTGTTAAAAACCCCTTGTCTGAGGCCCCAACCTCCCCCACCTGGGTCTCCTAAGCCCACCTTCAAGCCATCAGGCACCACAACGACATCAGCATCCCCAGCCACAGAAAGGCCGGGAACGACTGCGGAACCACAGACTTCCAGCAACCCTATGTGGGAGATGGTGCTAGCTGTAGTAGAGACCCTTAATCATACCACTCTCTCCCTCACTGACCCATGTTGGCTGTGCTACCCAGGATCCCACCCTTTTATTAGGCAATCGGGATAAATAGTTCCTATACTCTCAACAACTTTCATCCCACCTATTGGGACGGGAGACCATCGGGACTTACTCTTGCTCAGGTCTCGGCCTCTGGCACGTGTGTAGGCATAGTTCCAACATCCCAAAGCCAGTTATGCTCCTCATGCAATAACACCCCATGGGAGCAGGGAAAGTGGATTATACCCACCTCGGGCTGGTGGCTCTGTTCAAAAATGGGCCTCACCCCAGCCCTATCCACCTCTGTATTTAATGCTAATAATGAATTTTGTGTACTTGTGGCCATTCTGCCCCTTCTTTCATACCACTCTCATGAATCCCTCCTCTCCTATTGGGAGGGAAAACAGAGTCCACTTCGAAAGAAGAGGGAACCCATTACTGCCTCAACCATCGGAACTCTCTTCTCCGTGGGGATAGCTGGAGCAGGGACAGGAATCGTATCCCTAGTAATGTGAGAGCAAGGGCTTACGGCACTAAAGCTAGCAATCGACAGGGACTTGATCAGCTCCAGCAAACGATGTCAGACCTGGAGCAATCTCACACTCCCTTATCAGAGGTGGTGCTACAAAACAGAAGGGGCTTGGATCTCCTATTTTTAAAAGAGGGCGGGCTATGCACAGCTCTAAAAGAGGAATGCTGTTTCTATGTAGACAAGACAGGGGCAGTCAGGGAATCTTTGACCAAGTTAAAAAAGGACCTGGAGAGGAGGCGCAAGGAGTATGAAAGTAGTGAAAGCTGGTTCAAGTCTTGGTTTATGCATAACCCATGGTTTACAACTCTCCTCTCAGCTCTCGCAGGACCTCTAATTATTCTATTGCTACTAGTCACAATTGGTCCCTGCATAATAAATAGGCTACTAAGGTTTGTTCAGGAAAAAATTGATACTGTCCATCTCTTGGTCCTTCACCAGAAATACCAAGCCTTAGATACTGCTGAGGAAGATTCCTCAGTCTGATCTAGAAAAAGGGGGGGAATGTTAGGGAAGGAGGAATTTACTGCTTGTTTGAATTTACTGCTTTTAGCCAATTAACTCAACTGGAGACACAGGCATCC